CTCTCTCTCTCTCTCTCTCTGCCCCTCCCCTGCTCGCTCGCTCTGTCTCAAAAATAAATAAACTTTAAAAAAGGTTTTTTAAAAAAGAAATGGGGAAATAGCCGTGGGCTACGGTGTACGCGTCCGCCCTCCCTCAACCTTCCGTTGAAATGTAAATTCCACGAATGAAAATACTTTGTCGCGTTCGCTGTTCCGGTGACCTAGCAGTGTACCTGGCACACAGTTGGGGCTAATATTTACTGAATGAATTAATTAACGGAGAATGTGGGTCCCCAAGGTTTTAAAGTTTGGAGAAACCAGAACTGGGATTCCGGTCTCCTGGCACTGGCCAGGGCTTTTAATTTGCCACGGTAGGCGGGGCCGGCGGAGGTGCGGCTTTGGGGACCGTCGGGATCCCAGCAGTTGGCCCTTTGCTTGCGTCATGCCAACTGGTTAGGTAAATCCAGGCAGAAGGAAATAAAAACTGCTGGTGGGCTAGTTTGAAAGCTTGTAGCCCCCATGGCTAACTAGAAAAGGGAGAGGTTACTTAGATTTCATCGCTGCTTTTGTGGGCGTGTCCGTGGCTCTGTGTATTAAGCACTTCGCACTGAGCTCTACCTTTAGCCCGAGTAGTTGGTGTTCTGAAACAGGAGACAAGACAGTTAAAAAAAAAAAAAAAAAAAAAAATCCCTCCACATTTACTAAGTACCCTTTATGTGCCTAGCAGAGCTAAGCATAGCAGGAGCCTGGAGGGAGATAAGGAAACTTCCATTTAAATCCTAAAGCAAGAATGTGTTTTAACAGGTTTGGGGGCAACACAGGAACAATGCACCAAATTAGGAACAGACAGGTAAAAACAAAGATGTGAAAATACAAAATTTTTAACGTACGTGAAGGCTTCTTTTTTTTTTTTTTTTTCCTTTTTATCTTGTGGGATTGGTGGGAGGATGTGGTGGGCTGTGCCAGACCGCGTATTCACTATGGAATCAGTGTCCACTCTGTATCTCAATCTGGGAAGTCTTCCTGAAGGAAATGGCACTTCAGGAAACTCAAAGCAGAAATGATTGCCAGGCGTGGGAATGGGAATTTCCCGCCTTAGGGAGGCTACTCCTTGCAAGTGATAGCAAAGCAATCAGGGTAGGAAATAGAGGGGCAAACCCAATTCCGGGATACTCCATCGGAAAAGAATTCCTAATGTTTCCATCCTGGAAACTCATCCGTCTAGCGTATTTTGGTGCTGTGAAGAACATTGGCGGGAGTTGAGGAAAATAGGGTTCTAAACTAAAATTACCGTTTTTGAAAGGGCTGGAAAAACAGGACATTTTACCGACTATCAACCAACGGGTAGCGACAAGACAAGCAATAGGTTAAAACAAAACAAAACAAAAAGGACAAGGCATTTAATCAATGAATATTTATCGAGTACCAGCTATGCCCTCAGCATGCTGCCAATTACAGAAAATTGAGAAACAGATCCTGTCGAGCAGCCCAGGTAGCAGAAACCTAGCCATCAAAGGCATCTTTATAAAATAGGACCAATCCTGGCATGTTTTCGGAAAGTATGTATATCTAAATATCACTATCTCTTAGCTACGGTTCCTTTAAAGATAATAAAACCTCCTCACCCTCAAGAGAAAACTTTTAAAAATGCAAACATTCATCCATTTGCTCATTCACTAAATAATCATTTTTGTAGACACCTAATATAAAAAACAATCTTGAAAAAGAACCAAGTTGGAGCACTTGTGCTTCCCTATTTCCAAACTTACTGCCAAGCTGTCAAGACCATGTGGTGCTGTCATAAAGACAAACGTAGAAATCAGTGGAACAGAATAGAGTCCAGAAACAAATCCATGTTTTTGGTCAATTGACTTTGCCAGGGTGCCAAGACAATCCAGTGGGAGAAAGAATAGTCTTTTCAACAAACGGTTCCGGGACAACTGGATATCTGCAATACAAAACAATACAGTTGAACCCTTACCTCACAACATATACAAAAGTTAATTCAAAATGGTTGAAATACAACAGGTAAACCTGTGGCGCCGTCGGTTAAGCGTCCGACTTCAGCCGGGTCACGATCTCGCGGTCCGGGAGTTCGAGCCCCGCGTTGGGCTCTGGGCTGATGGCTCAGAGCCTGGAGCCTGTTTCCGATTCTGTGTCTCCCTCTCTCTCTGCCCCTCACCCGTTCATGCTCTGTCTCTCTCTGTCCCGAAAAAAAATAAACGTTGAAAAACAAGAGGTAAAACTATTAAATCCTTAAATGAAATTAGGAAACCTCAGCCCCATGGATCAGGCAATGATTTGTTAGATGTGATTCCAAAAGCACAAATGACAAAAAAAAAAATAGGCAAATTGGACCTCATTAGAACTAAAACTTTGTGCTCCAGACGACACCCCAGAGAAAGTGGAAATAGAAACTGAAGAATGAGAGACTATTTACGGTTCATGTATCTGATGAGACTTTAAAATACACAAAGAATATGTGAAGAAGTCTTAGCATTCAATGATGAAAGACAACCCAGTTCTTTAAATAGCCAAGTAATTTGAATAGATATTTCTCCAAAGAAGATATTCAAACAGCAAATAAGCACATAAAAAGAAAAAAATCATTAGCCATCAGGGAAATGCAAATCAAAACCCACAGTGAGATCTACTTCTCACCCATTAGGGTAACTATACCAAAAAAATCAGACAATGGCAAGTGTTGGAGAAAAGGTGAAGAAAACAGAGCCCTTGTACATTGCTTATGGGATTTTGAAATGGTGCAGACACTTTGTCTATCTGGCAGCTCCTTCAAAAGGTGACACCTAGACCCCTAAGTATAGAACCAAGAAACGAAAGTCCAGAACTTGTAAAGTACAAATACAAAAACTTGTAAATCAGCTTTGTCATAGCAGCATTATTCGTAATACCCAACAAGTGCGAAGGACCCAGTATCCATCAACTGATGAATAGATAAACAAAATGTGGTATATCCACAATAAAATATTATTTAGCCATAAAAAGAATGATACATGCTACAACCTGAAAACATTCTAAGTGAAAGAAACTGGACGTAAAAGGTCACATGTGTCACATAATTCCATTTATATGACATATCCAGAATAAGCAAACCCCTAAAGATAGAAGATAGATTCATTGTTGCCAAGGACTAGGGAGGGACTACCAATGGGAATGGATTTCTTCTTAGAATGTTAGAAATACTTCAAATTAGATTATGGTGATGGCTGCACAACTCTGGGGATATACTAAAAAAACACTGAATTGAGGGGCACCTGGGTGGCTAAGGCGGTTGAGAGTCTGACTTCTGCTCAGATCATGATCTCACAGCTCGTGTGTTCAAGCCCCACATTGGGCTCTGTGCTGATAGCTCGGAGCCTGGAGCCTGCTTCAGATTCTATGTTTCCCTCTCTCTGCCCCTCCCCTCCTGGTGCCCTGTCTCACTCTCTCCTTCAAAAATAAATAAACATTAAAAAACAAAGAAACACTGAATTGAGCATTTTAAAAGGGTGAATTTTATGGCATGTGAATTAGTTCTAAATAAAGCTGTTTTTAAAAAGCCTACTATGGGGCGCCTGGGTGGCGCAGTCGGTTAAGCCTCCGACTTCAGCCAGGTCACGATCTTGCGGTCTGTGAGTTCGAGCCCCGCGTCAGGCTCTGAGCTGATGGCCCAGAGCCTGGAGCCTGTTTCCGATTCTGTGTCTCCCTCTCTCTCTGCCCCTCCCCCATTCATGCTCTGTCTCTCTCTGTCCCAAAAATAAATAAACGTTGAAAAAAAAAATTTTTTAAAAGCCTACTATGAGTCGCACATTCTATATATCTTAATGACTTTTCTGGCAAATTAATTGTAATTGTCAGCAGCTTTAGTGTAATTGTTAAAATGATATAAAAGAGTTGAAACTTCCTGAAATCAAATTGTTTAGGGCCAGGTAAAAGGATATTTGAAAAGCTGAGCCATTTGAATTCATAATTCATAAGTTTACACAAGCTTTTTGTGTAATCATCATGTTACAA